GCGAATCTGGTATAAACAACTGAGAACAATGTTTAAAATGTAATAGACAAAATTATGTACTTATAACAATAATGGTCAGATTGAAATTACACATAAACATTAAGAACACTTGTAAAAAGTACTATGCAAGAGAACTGTTAACACTGTCAAGACAGAACAAAGCGGACAGCCATATAAGGTCACAGGACAATATTAAAAGCAACATCAAAGTTAGGTAGTGGCTAAGGTAACTAGGTGAAATTATTTCAGAATTTAAGGATACCCAAAATACCTAAGGCTCCAATCACAGCAAAATGTTAAATACTTTGGAAGCCATTAATAGGTGACTTTGATACATTAGTTGTGAACCTGTATTATTAAAGTTGTTTTTTCAAAAATATTTGGTTTCCAACTATTATAACTTTACAGTGCTGTTCTATAATAAGCATTTTTTAGCTTTGTAAAACAAAAAAGCTAAGACTTTAGTTTTTTTGGATTTTTTTCCTAAGCAAAAAGAACATATCAAAACAAACTTACTACCCTCCAAAAGGACAACTATAGCAAAAGACTATCCTAAGGAAATTCTCTTCTAAACATCACTTCTCAAACACAACTACAACTTAGGATCATACAAGGACCATTTAAAATATGAATACGCAGCACATACTCCAGATCAATTAAATCAGAATAACTGAAGATGGGCAGGAGTGTTTTTAAAAGCTCCCCAGGTGACACTAACAAAGAGACTGAGAACCATCATTCTTGGGAAACTGAAACCCTTCATATTATTATTTCTTCATATAAAATTTTTGTCTGTAACTGTCTAAAAAGTATTTTGTGATTTCATTCACCCAATTTGCAAACACCCAAGAGTGCAGGGCCCTTCATGACTAAAAGGGATATTATCACAAGTCAAACAACAGCCCAGCAAGTCAAACAAAAATCAAAGCAAAAGGATTCCATTAATAATGCTTTAGACAACAGCGTCAGTTCAATTCACATGTCAAATATGCAATCACTAACCAAGCTAAATCTACTTTCCAAATGCTAGTTCTTACAATCTTTGAAATGGCAATATGCCTCCTGGTGCACTTAAGAACCCAACAATTCCAAGAGTCATCCTGAAACAACCGCCAACTGTGACATTCAAAGTCCCTCATGTCATTTGTGAAAACACAAAAGATACAAGAAATCAACTCTCTTAAAGATTGCTTAAACCAGACTTTAAGGTTGTGTGACTGGGGCCGGTGCCGTGGCTCACTTGGTTAATCCTCCACCTGTGGTGCCGGCATCCCATATGGGCGCCGGGTTTTAGTCTCGGCTGCTCCTCTTCCAGTCCAGCTCTCTGCTGTGGCCCGGGAGTGCAGTGGAGGATGGCCCAAGTCCTTGGGCCCTGCACCCGCATGGGAGACCAGGAGGAAGCACCTGGTTCCTGGCTTCGGATAGGCGCAGTGCCGACCATAGCAGCCATTTGGGGAGTGAACCAACGAAAGGAAGACCTTTCTCTCTGTCTCTCCCTCTCACTATCTATAACTCTACCTGTCAAATAAAAAAAAAAAATTAAAAAAAAAGGTTGTGTGACTGTCAGCAAAGAAAATCTTTTCATACTTTCATGCAGAAAATATCCCTGAAAACTCAAGACTGTCAGAAGAACTCTGAAATTCAAACTCATGCCTTTATTTTTTATTTAGCAATGTAAGAACTTCACAGGAATACTAGATAATCTTTAAAAGCAAATATTAAAATATGTTACGGTGTTACTCAGAAACCCTACTCCAAGTCCACAGCCTCTATTCAGAAACTTGAGGGCAGACTTCTGGATTTCAGAAAAATTAACAGTGTTTATACCCCGGCCTGGCCTGGAAGGTCTCAAAAAGCACAAACAAGGCCCGCCGTGGCTCACCAGGCTAATCCTCCGCCTGTGGAGTCGGCACCCCAGTTCTAGTCCCGGTTGGGGCGCCGGATTCTGTCCCGGTTGCTCCTCTTCCAGTCCAGCTCTCTACTGTGGCCTGGGAGGGCAGTGGAGGATGGCCCAAGTGCTTGGGCCCTGCACCCGCATGGGAGACCAGGAGGAAGCACCTGGCTCCTGGCTTCAGATCGGCGCAGCGTGCCAGCCGTGGCGGCCATTTGGGGGGTGAACCAACGGAAGGCAGACCTTTCTCTCTGTCTCTCTCTCTCTCCCTAACTCTGTCAAATTAAAAAAATAAAAAATAAAAAAGCGCCAATAACCAAATACATTAATATTCTAAAAGCAAAACATGACTTTTTTAAGTAAGATGAATAAAGATTAAGCAGGGGCCAGCATGCGGAACAGCGGGTTAAGTAGCCACCTGCAGTGCTGGCATCCCATATGGGTGCCTGTTTGAGTCCACGCTGTTCCACTTCCAATCTAGCTCCCCGTTAATGTGCCTGGGCAAACAGTGGAAGATGGCCCAAATACTTGGGCCCATGGCACCCAAGACAGAGACCCCTGATGAATCTCCTGGCTCCCGGCCTCTGGCTTCCACCTAGCCCAACCCTGACCATAGCAGCTAGCCATTTGGGGACTGAACCAGTAGATGGGATGGCAGATCTCTAACTCTGCCTTTCAAATAAAATTAATCCCCCCCCCCCCAAAAAAAAAGATTAAGTAACCTCCATCAGTAAAGTCAACAAATTATTTTGTTGCAAACATCTGAAAAAACTTTTACAAAGTTTTGTATGAACCTGTAATTCAAGATTTCTGCTTGATATTCAAGATACTGTAACTAGGCTTGGGAGTGGGGAGTATTCACTATGATGAAAACATCCTTTTAATTCCATTGTAATTTTAAAGAAACAAATTATTATGGTAAATCCATGATAAAAGTCCAAGTGGTGCCCAGCAATTTTCATCATGATCAGAAGAGTATATAAGTGTCCACATTAATTTTAATAATGAAATTTGGGGCAAGACCAAACAAGCGCATCAACACGTGCATACGTTTACTAAGGCAAATGGAGGTACAGAAGGGGCAAATCAACATCCATGGTTCACCCAGTTTTCTACCCAGCGGTATGCCGACACAGAGCTTTGCAGCTAAGCAGACCAATGTTCTAATCCAGACTCCACCACATAGTAAGGTTACTTAGGCCCCCCAACCTCCAGTTTCCTCATCTGTAAAACTGGGTTAATCATTGTAGCTATATCTCACTACATTTTTTAAAGGATTAAATAAAGTAACATTTGAAGTTCATGACTTACAGGCCGTCAATTCCCTCCACCTAAACTGCCACCATCTGTCTAAAACCATCTATGCATTAAAGGGGTTCAAGAACGACTTGCCTGTGTCATCAAATTTTATACGGTAAAAGTCACTATGAAAAAGGCTTTCAAATTTCAGAAATTCAGTTAGTGGTGACTAATTTCTGAAATCAGAGCAGCTTCTCCAACCACACTGTAACAAAACCTACCTATCCTGCTGATACTCTTTTGTCTTCTACACAGCCAACTGCATGTACAAATGGGTGACAAGTAAAAACACCATACCCAGAAGTGGGCCCTTCTACCTTGAAGTACCAGACTGGTCAAGGTTTTACAGATAAACCATTACAATACTTAGAATTAATCACTTAGAGACATCCATTGTCCAAAGAACCCACACAATCCAAATGCACCTAGGAAAAAACAAGACAACAGTCCAAAATCCACATTTGGTAAACTACCCACTGAATGAGAAAACTCAACACTGGTAACTATGGCAGAGTCTTGCATTGCCTATTTAAACTGTCAAACGTTCCAAAACATGGAGTCCTTTGTTGCTCTTTACCCTAAACGCACAGTGTTTTGGTTCTATTATGCATAACTTTAGAATTTTACAGGGCTTTAAATCAGTCTTAATGTACAACAAGCTCTGAGTTGATCCAATGTTTTCCTATTAGCAATTTCCCCAAAGTACAATAAGTAACCTAGACAACCTAGACTTCCACCACACCCGACTTAAGATATTTAAGTTAGCATATCTCTTGTAACAAGAAAGCTCTCTCTAAATGTTAATATTAAAATCCAAGTAGTCACTGCTAACACTACCATAAATAACCCACGCAGACTCCTGCTGTTCCATCGACTTTAAGAACATCATCTGTCAACATGTCCTCGCAGAGGACAACAAATGGAATCGAAACATTACTCGAACAGAAAAATGACTTTTAAAGAACCTCTATTATCCTGTGTTCTAATACGATAGTGTTCGTCGCGAAAAGATTCAGAACTAAAAGCAAACGGATCTGGCACTGCACAACTACCTACGACTTACAGGAGTCTTAATCCCACACACTTGCACTTTTTCCGTCATAAACAGGAAACTCCAAAGAAAAGAAGAGACACAACGCCTTTTTTTTTTTTTTTTTTTTTTTTTTTTGGCTAGGAGGAATAATAAAGGCATCGCTTCCAACCCCCACAGTCTGAGTGAATAAAAGAAAAAGCCACGGGAGGAAGTGACGGGGGTGGGCGGCTGGTGAGCTCAGTTGAGACTCCTAAACATGCCACCCAGCTCGCAGGGTGCCTCGAAACATCTGTACCGTCAGCTGCGGCAGGCGAACGGGGGAGGGTGCGGGCTCGGAGTTGTGTGCCTGCACGCCTGGCTTCCTCCTTCGCCAACTCCTCGCACCTCCCCATCCCATCCCATCCCGCTCCCTTCACGAAAAAAAAGCAAGCGAGCCCATAAAAGCAGAGGCAAGAACACAAAGAGGCAGGAAGCGGCTGCAACCAGCGTCCAGAACAATGGAGAGAGGGTGCGAGGCGAACTCTCGAGGAGGACAATGAAGAGGGGTGGGAAGGCACCGAGGCCAGCGCCGCCGAGCCCGGGTCCTGCCGGCGGCGGACGCCTGGACGCCGAGGCCGGACCGCGCGGCCCGTGTCACCCCGGACGCGGAGGGCTGGGCTGGGCTGGGCTGGGCCGGGCCGGGCCGGGCCCGGCCGGGGCAGGCAGGCGGGAGCGGCGGGGCCCAGAGGGGGCGGCGGGGCCTGCGCGGAACCGCAGGCAGGCGCCGGCAGCACTCACCGGCATTCTGGTCTCGGGGCCAGAGGTAGTAGGTGGCTGGGATCACGATGAGCCCCACGAAGGAGGTGAGGAAGTAGAAGAAGGTGTTCCCGCTGTCATCGTACTGGAACTGCTGCCCCGCCATGGCACTCCCTCCTCCTGGCTCTTCTCACCACCGCCGCCGCCGCCGCCGCCACGACCCCGCTCGGCGCTCCGACTCCCGGCGCTCCGGCCCCGTGTGGCGCAGCTCGGACGCCGCCGCCGCCGCCGCCACCGCCGCCACCGCCTCTCCTCCCCGCCCCCACGCTACTCTCACGGACACGCCGTCGCCGCTGCTGCCGTCGCCAGCTCTCGCGAGAGGAGCTAGTTCCCGCCCCGTTCTGCTTTTCCCTCCTCCGGGCCTGTCACCCAAACGCTCACTAAGAGAGACGTGGCGCGCGCAGCGGTGGAACTCTGCGAGGGCCTCCCTTAGCCACGCCCCCAAGCCCTTGTAGGCCCGCCCTGAGGCCCCGCCCCTAGCCCAGAAGACCGCCCCTTTCTCCGCCGCTTCCTTTCCCAGCGCCCGGCGCCGGAGCCCGGATTCCTGCACGTGGGGTCCCCGCGAAGGCTTCCCGGCGGAGAGAGCGGGCACGGGCGATCCCCCAGGAGCAGAGCAAGGCTTCCTCGCCTCCCGCTCTGGGTCGTCCCTACCCGTGCCGGCCTCTCGCTTTTCAGTTGCCCTGGTGGTTGTGATCCCCTCCTGCAGCCCCCACAAGTTGGAAACAAGTGTTTCCCAGGAGAGGGGGCTGGAGGAGGGAGTTGCTGCTGTGGGTTTTTTGCAAGATAATGTTTGCTATTAAAAGACCACTGCCTACGCCACGCCCCCTTGCAGACGCGCCCCAGCGCGGCTGACATCTGTAGTTTCCAGCTCAGGAGCGCTCTCCACCGCCCAGGCGCTAGGCTGGGACCTTTACTGCTTTCTATCTCTTACGCCTCAGTAAAACCCGCTGGGACTAAGCCAAGCATCGCTGCCCCTAACAGATGAGGAAAACTGATGCCCGCAGAGATTTGCCCAAGGTCAACGCAGAAGGCACAGAAGGTCTGGGGATTCCAACCCAGATGGCTCTGACGCCACAAAGCCGGTGCCCTTGAGCTCCGCGTCGCGTGCCCCTGCAGGCTGCGGGCTGGGGGCAGCCGGGGCCGGGGGCGCTCTGGGGAGCCCGGGGGGCGGTGCCGGCGTGGCTGGGGGCGGGGCGAAGACCCTCTCTCTGCAACCCCTCGCCTCGCCCGCCCTTCTGGGGGGGCCTGAAGGGTGGTGGTGAGGATTCCAGGAAATCGTTGTGAAAACGCCTTTCAAAGGAAAACGACGTAACCTGGAAGACCCCACGTCAGGCCGCATTTCTGAAGCCTCCCTTGAGGGGCGAAGTGGCTTTCCGTGTGCCCGGTGTCGGTGGCCCGTCCTCTGTCCAGGACCAGTGTGGTGACCAAGGCTGTTCTTCCTAACATTCCGTTCGCCTGCCTTCTGTCGTCCCTTTCACACTTCCCACCCACCCGCTTGGAGGGAACATTTCTCCAAGTCGTTTTCCCTGCGTTCCCTTTGCTGTGGGAAGTTTCCAAGGACTCCACTGGAGGGGGACAGTGACCAAGGACACCGTGACCAGCAAGCTGGGCTGCCAAGCCAGCGCAGCCTTGCGGCCGCCGGGCACCAACATATCGACGTGCCCGGCATGAGCAATTCTTGGCCAGCTCGGCTCCACTCAAGCGAGTGGGACCCTGAAGTTCCTTTTGTTTGTGTTCAACCTGTTGTTAAGACTGCCCAGGTTTTAATAATGTTGAACTGGTTCTAATTATGTTCTACTCCGCTTTTGCGTAAAGATAATAGGTGGGTTTTATAACCTTGTGGCAATATCCATTATCGATGACAAACACTCCGCTTCTGGCTTCCCTCATCTACTTGGTGCAGTCTGCGGATCATGCATGAGAGTGGCTTCAACCAAGCTTAACCACGGAACAATTTGAACAAATCACATTAGTTTGCTAAACTCATGAACAATCTAAAATAAGATTTTTTTTCAAAGCATATTACAGATTTGAAAATGGATCTTCTGTATTCAAAAGTATAAATACCTTTTATCCTCAAAGTTAACATAACTGAGCATAGGTAAACTCTGACCACTCAAGTATTCTCCAAACCTAAATCGTACCTTGAATTAATTTCATCACAATCTCTGATTCAATTTCTTATTCATGATGTTTTTAACCTAACAAACTTTTTCCTTGAATAGAGTTTTTAGGGAAATAGTTCATAATAGTAAATGGATATGAAGAAAGCAGAACTACAAACATATTTCATCCTAGTCTAACACCACATATTAAAGGGTATTTTAGTCTCATCTGCATTTGTTTCTGTAAATATGTATTTTAATCCATTTCGTTGTAATTGCTGAGTAGATATTTCCTGTCCAGTATAGAAAGCCTGATCCTTTTTAGATTCTTCTTAACTCATTTTTTCCCTGAGTGAAATTTTCCTTCATTATTGTATTCTTTATATTACTGGTATTGGTTTACATTTATACATTTGTTTAGCTATAATCAAAATTATTCATTTTTCTATTTAATGGAATTAGTTGCTACACAGAGATTGAAAGGAACCGAATTATTAAATAGGTACACGCAGTGATTTCCAGTGATCCCCTTCCCTCATGTTCCCGTGGACTGCAACCTTTACTACCAATGCCTAGAAAATGACATTTAATGCTAAGCCCCTCTTACCTTGTTTCAGAGTCAGGATTTTCTTCCCGTAAGAGGATAAGTGTTGGGGCTGGTGCTGTGGCACAGCAGGTTAAAGCCCCAGCCTACAGCGCTAGCATCCCATATGGGCGCCAGTTCGAGTCCCGGCTGCTCCTCTTCTGATACAGCTCTCTCCTATGGCCTGGGAAAGCAGTAGAAGATGGCCCAAGTCCTTGGGCCCCTGCACCCGCGTGGGAGACCTGGAAGAAGCTCTGGCTCCTGGCTTCCAAGCTCAGCTCCAGCTATTGTGGCCATTTGGAGAGTGAACCACCAGGATGAAAGACCTCTCCCTCCTGCTCTACCTCTCTCTGTAACTCTGTCTTTCAAATAAATAAAATAATTCTTTAAAAAAAATAGGATGTGTTTTCTGATACAAATTAACCAATTGTTTTTTGTACATAATAACAATGAAATGTCCCATCATAATGACATTAGTAACATCAACAAAGTAACACTTGTGCAACACTTATGATGTACAAAAATCTTTTACATCATTAACCCAATTGAAATTTCAAATCATGACCCATGTGCTGGGAAAATGGTTCCAAATGATTACAACCCTTTCCTCTGCTAACCCAAGGATCTTGGGACCCAATGAAACCACAGCATCATATCTGGAAAGTAAAGGGAGCCAGGAGCTGGAAATCAGTGAGACTATACTCAACTCTGAAATCACGAAAACAATTTTAAAAGAGAAACTCAGAGCTATAGTTTTAGCATTGGGAGCAGCTTAATATTTTGACTCCTCTTTTCTAAAGCATGTTGGACTTGTTGATACTGTTTGTTCTTTTCTGTCCCTCCTTTCGTGATTACAAAGCTGAGAATTTGTTGTCCACAATGAATTATAAAACTCAGATTATTCCTTTATGAATTAATTTTATGCCTTACCAACTGTTACGGTTTGAATGTGTTCATTGGAAAATTCAGGTACTAAAGTGTAGTTGCCAATGTTATAGCATTAAAAGGTGGGGCCTGGGACCCATGCTTGTGGCACAGCAGGTTAAGCTGACACTTTGACACCGGTACCAACACAGGTGCTATTTCAAGTCCTGGTTGCTCTATTTCTGCTCCAATTCTTTACTAATGAGCCTTGGAAAGCAGCAGAGGATGGCCCAAGTCCTCAGGTCCCTGCCACCCACGTGGGAGACCTGGGTGAAACTCCTGGCTCCTACCTTCCAACTTCTGCTGAGTAGATCCTCCCCTCTGGAGGCTGCAGCAGCAAGGCTCCGTCTTGGAAGTGAGATCATGCCCATCACTGGGTGCCAAGCCTGCCCTGGCCTTGATCTTGTACTTCCCAGCCTCTAGAACTGTGAGAAATGTTTCTACTCCTTATAAATTCCCCAGTTGCAGGTAGTTGGTCATAGTAGCACAAATGGACTAACAAACCAACATAAGCAAAAACGATCCACAGGGACTGGTGCTGTGGCTTAGCAGGTAAAGCCACCGCCTAAGTGAAGCATCCCATATGGGCACCAGTTCAAATCCTGGTGGCTCCACATCTCATCCAGCTCCCTTCTAATGTGCCTGGGAAAACAGAGGAAGATGGTCCAAGTCCTTGGGCCCTGCGCTCTTGTGAGAGGCCTGGATGAAGCTCCTGGCTCCTGACTTTGGTCTGGTCCAGTCCCAGCCATTGCAGCCGTTTTGGGAGTGAACCAGCGCCAGCGGGTGAAAGACCTCTCTCTCTCTCTCTCTCTCTCTCTCTCTGCCTCCATAACTTTGCATTTCAAACAAATAATAAATATATTTTAAAAATAAGATTGATAGTTTACATTAAGCCATTAGACTAGCACTTAATGGAATTTCCCAACCAAACAGAGATATAACTTGGTGGGGCCGGCACTGTGGTATAGCAGGTAAAGCTACTGCCTGCAGTGCCAGCATCCCATATGGGTGCCGGTTCTAGTCCCAGCTGCTCCACTTCTGATCCAGCTCTCTACTGTGGCCTGGGAAAGCAGTGGAAGATGGCCCCAGTCCTTGGGCCCCTGCACTCACGTGGGAGACCTGGAAGAAGCTCCTGGCTCCTGGCTTCAGATCGGCGCAGCTCCAGCTGTTGCAGCCATCTGGGGAGTGAACCAGCCGATGGAAGACCTCTCTCTCTCTCTCTCTCTCTCTCTCTCTGTGTGTGTGTATGTGTGTGTCTCCTTCTCTCTCTGTGGAACTCTTTCAAGTAAATAAATATTAAAAAAAATATATAATAGGAATGGTGTCATAAATAGAGGCATTCACTATGGGCAGTTTCACAGGTGTATACTCAAGTAATAAGAAAAATTTTCAGTAGAGATTAAAATTAAAACTCCAGGAAAAAACAATCATCTTGTTGAAAAGCAAATGTTGTGGGTCCTGAAGCATAAAAAAGTTGGGGGAGAACAGATATTA